TCTCTCTCTATATATATATATATATATATATATATATATATACATATATATATTTCTCACTAACAGAGATAGAATTGAAATGTCTTGACTAGAGGCAGAATTGTAAAATGCAATATGATAAAATTTCCTAAGTTGTATCAATATACAAAATGTATATACATCAAGTATCCCATCCTAACCATACCTTTACCATTCATAGCCTTAAACTTATCTAAAAGAGATACCCGAGTCTGAGCATCACCTTCCATACCTAACCCTAAACAACTAAAAACCAGCCCTATGCAGGTGAATACTATCCCTTAAGGCCAACAGTATGGAAAGGGGGCGTTGTTTTCTTCCTGCTGAAATGGGACAATGATGACTCCATGGAATTCTGTAGCAAAAAGAGAGCAACAAAATGTCTCTAGAGGACTAGGTGTAACATTTGTAGCTAGTTTCTGAATGGCTGGAGATGCTTGACTGAAGTTCCTATCTGAAACTCTGACCAGGGTGTAATAAGAAGGTGCACCGTTTCAGCTAGCTGGTCTGGAGTTGTCTCTAGTCTTACAGTCCCACACTGGTTTTAAGGTGGTGTTTGTTAGTTCAGAGGCATCAAGTTGAATCAAGTGGAGTCGATGGAGTGGGGCCCCATTTTCTTTCCAGAGAGCTCAAAGATTGCTGTTAGGAAATTTTTTGTTCGCTGTGGAGGACTTAAACATTAATATCAGCACAGAAAGTTTAACTTCCACAGGTAAACATACAGGGAAAGGTAACAATAAGGATGAAATTAAGAATGAGGAAAATGAGGATTTCAGAGAAGACAGAGCTAAAACAGTAATCTTAGATTTTGTTTTCTTCTCTCTTACACCAACGGCCTTTTGATATGAGACAGAAACTCTGAATTTTACTTAAACAACAAATTTGAATTTGGAGAAGGAGGCCCAAGTCCAACTCCAAAGCCAGGTTTGATTTTTACGTGAGTTGGGACTGCAATTGTGCTGGGAGTAAGAAGTCAAGAGTTTACTATGAATCAGATTCTTCTTTGTGTGATGTTCGTTCTAGACAGCTATCCTCTCTTCTTTAGGCATCTACACGTTCGGTGTCTTTTTGCTTTTTGGAGATGGGTTTTTTTTCTGTTTTTCTGTAAAGACAGGAGCAAAACACTCTCCTTACCTTTGTGAGGTCTTCGTACAACTTGTGGGATACACCTTGGTGTATGACCTATCATTTCTCCTCATCAAGAGGTTTCTCCTGTTCAAACCGGATCTTGCTCAACTTTTATGTATCCAAAGCTTTTCTTCTCCTGTAGAAACAAAGGTGAAACCCCTTCCCCAAAGTAACACATATCCTATTTTCCATACTGAAGTCAATACATCCTTGAAGTACACTGGCTGATTTAGTTCAGAAGCTTTTTCTATCGTCCAGTGTCTTTCTGCGGCTGTTTTTCCTTTCTCATTAGCATTAAGAAAGTTTAATATTAATAAAGCATTATATAATCTGTCTTTGTCCCCCCTGCTGGTTTATAGAGCATTTCCTTTAAAGTGCAATTAAGATCTCTCAACCACTTCTTGTCCTGTAGGATTGTGTGGTATACCAGCTATCCACAGCAGTCATCTGTTTCAGGCATTAAGTACATTCTCCCTGAATAAACTCATATTTAACCTGTATTGAACCTATTCCCGTGAATCTTGATCCGTGCATCCACAGATGGTAGAACCAAAGGCTGAATCCAAGCCCACTGGACTCTCACCTGTGCTCTAGAGGCTGAGGAACTGAACTTGAATAGGGTCATCTCAGGAGCTTTGTGGGGGAAGGGACAGGGACAGGTTGGAGAGTTGACAGCTGTGGAGTCCTTCCCGTCCTGTTTGGTTGCTTACTTGTGACCAGTTTTGTTTGCAGCACACGGTTTCAGGCCAAGCATTTACCACAAAGATAGGTTCCTTAGAGTCATTATGAAAGCGTCCTCACAGCAGAGCTACTGTGGATGATGGGGGCTCACAGATGCCTTGTAACAATGGACTTCCCGGCTTGAGTGAACACGTGAGCATTTAGCATGTCTGCAGCAGATCCAGCAAGGTTCTGGCTCCTGTAGGAATGGTGATCACACGGGCTCACTTGAACTTCACACCTAACATATGCCGAGCACCGATCTGCATGCCCCCAGGGATGCAGACCCTCTGTCCTTACATTCCCTCGAGTTGTTCCTTCCCTTGACTTTAGGAAGTGTTTTTTTTTTTGTTTTGTTTTTTGTTTTTGTTTTTGTTTTTTTCTTTTGCATAGATCAACAGAGTTTTGTTCCTCTGAGCTACAAAAACCGCCAAGGCCTTAAAACAGCAAGAGCAAACCCTCAGGAACCCAGCTATTATAGAACATAAGTGGTTGGGAAAATGCTGCGTACCCCAAGCAGGCCAGTAACTGGAGGAACAGCAGGGCTTGGCTATGCTCACACCATCACACAGCAGGCTCCCAGACTACGTTTGCAGCAGACTCCTGAACAGCTCAGATATTCAGGCTGTTTTACACTCACGTGAAAGCATCCAACTCCTGGATTCTCAGCAAGGCAGGACAGACAGCTCTGCTGTCTGAAACAGTAGCCCAGACTGCTCCCCTGTGGAAAACAGTGGGTGTGAGACTCCAAAGGGGAGGAGACTGGGCCACCCTGGGTAGCCTCCCGAAATGAAATGTTGGCCTGCTGGGAAGATATGTTCCTCCTCCTGTGGTCCAGTTCATGAAGCCACTGAAGCAGCGTGTGCCAAGGCTCAAAGAAAGGCCCATTCTGGCAATCTATCTGCTAGGCCATTCAGCCAGTCCCCCGGCTTTGTGATACACAAATGGAGAGCTCACCTCCACAAAGCCTCAGTGACTTCATGAACTAGGGAGGCAGGATTGTCAGAGCGCGGGACTATGGGAAGAAGGGGGGGTTACCAGACAGAGAGGAAACAGCACAGACAGTACAGAGTAAAGACAGTAAAGCGTCGCTAAAAATGGGTTGATCTAAGTCGTAAGAGCTCGTTAGTAACAAGCTATCAGCCGATTGTTTGTAACTAATAATAAGTCTCTGTGTCACTGATGAGCTGACAGTCCTAAAAAAAATCCATCTGCAGATGGACTTTCTCAAAACAGTATGCACACAGCTTACTGCCAAAGGGAGTTGCTACCTGGGGCAGAAGACCCCCGAAACTTACTCAACTCGTGTGACTATAGTTTTATCCCTGGAGTCACATCTCCTATGCCTCTCCATTCCCCTATCATTGTTTTCTCTGAGTGTATAACATGGGCTTGACAGCCTGAGATAAATCCTGATGCTTTCGAAGAGTCAGCTCCTACAACCTCCCTTCTCTCATCTTTAGCTCTCTCCTCTGTGCAGCGGGAGACTCCTTCCTGTATGGTGATGAGGTTAGACGACACACGCCAGCCATTCTCTTCTCTTCCTCCCTTCTGTGCTTCAGGCTTTCAACCCCATCCTGTGTACCAGAGATGGCGCTGCGATAGCTGGTGTTGATTGTCAGGGTGTTGATAGACAACGCTCTGGGCCTATCAATAAAGGAGTTTCTAGACTGGGAAAGTTGAAGTGGGAAGACCAGTAGGGGCGTGGAAGACAGCGGTGCTGAGAGTGACCTGAACGGTGGGGGCCTGGCTCAAGAGAATGTTAGTGTGTGGCCCAGAGGTTCTTGTGATATTTTGGTGGGGAATGTGGCTGCTGCTCTGCTCTTGTCAGAAAAGTTTGCCTGGGGCTAAAATGGAAGATTTGGGTTAATTTCATCGGCAGAGGAAATCTTGAAACAGCCTAGTATAGACTCCGTCATGTGGTTACTAGTGTCAACTCTAATGAGGATTTATAATGGAAAGAAGCAAGCTGAGCAAGGAAAAAAATTGGGGGGAAAAGGAGCAGCAGGAAGTGGAGTGGAGCCAAGTCCTGTGTTCAAAGAGATAAGCATTAAGAAATAGGATAAAGGGAGTGGTGACCTCAGGGCAAGATCCCACCCAGCTAAGCTTCCAACTTGTCAAAAGGGATTGAAGAAAAGCTCAGAGTCTGGTGTGATGGTGCACGCCTTTAATCCTAGCACTCCAGAGGCAGAGGCAGGTTGATCTCTGAGTTCAAGGCCAGCCCAGTCTACAGATCAAGTTCCAGGACAGCCAAGCTTAGGAGTGAAGTAAACCATGGGAAACAGACAGCTGGTGAAGATGTAATTGAGTGAGGGGACCATGTTCCAGCCCCAGAAAGCAGCAGAATTTGGCAGCTTCTGCCATGTGGTTCTGGCTTTAGAGTCAGGTATAGAAGAGAGGGGTTATAGAGTCTTCCTCTATGACTTAAGTCGCTGAGACCAGGCATGTGTCGGGGTGTTCCTGCATGGAGGCCTAGAGAAGACATTGCATGAAGCTGTGAAAGTGAAGCCTGGATTACATCGGAGAACTCAAGATGTCAGAGAGGCCAGAGCTGTGGGGTACCTGCCAAAGAGAGCTGATAATGGAGTAGAACCAGCCCAAGAGTGAGAAATGTGCGATAGTCAACAAAGCTGAAAGGAGCTGGAGATCTGCAGAGCACTTTGACATCAGACATGGAGGTGCAGAGTTCCGAGCTGGCCCAGCTGCTTTTCTGTCTTGTTTTGGTGAAGTATTTCCTCACTTTGATGCCTTCCCTCCATTTTGGTAATGTATATACTGTGTCTTTGTATGTTGGAAGTATGTGATCCACCTTTTGATTTTGATTTTACAGGGATTATGGTTAAGAGATTGCTTGAATCTCAAAAGAGACTTTGAACTTTAGACTTTTAAATAAGTTTGAAAGTGATATAGACTGTGGGGACTTTTGAAGTTGGAATGAATGTATTTTACATTATGGTATGGCTGTACGTCTGTGGGGGTGAGGGAGTGGAATGTGGTAAGAAAAAAATCCCCCATAGGGAGTGGCACTATTAGGGGTGTGGTCTTGTTGGAGTAGGTGTAGCCTTGTTGGAGGAAGTGTGTCACTGCGGTGGTGGGCTTGGAGTTACCTTATGTTCAAACTATGCCTAGTGTAGGACACAGGCTCCTTCTGCTGCCTGCAGATCAAGATACAGAACTTGCAGCTCCTCTCCAGCACCGTGTCTGCCTGCACGTCACCTGCCATGAGGACAACAGACTGATCCTCTGAACTGTAAGACAACCCCAACTTAATGTTGTCCTTTATAAGAGTTGCCATGGTTGTGGTGTCCCTTCACAGCAATAGAAAGTCTAACCAAGACTAAGACCCACCCTAGCTGGGAAACAGCGTTCCAAAGGCAGGGAGGGGCCTGTGCCGAGAGAGAGGAGAAGGGGGATGAGCACCAGCATTCACCTCTCTGCCTCCTGACTGCAGATGTGACAAGCTGCCTCATGTCCCTGGCATCCTGACTTCCTGCCAGGGATGGACTGTATCCTTCTTAAACCATAAGCCAGAAGAAGCCCTCCTTCCTTGGCTGACTTTGCCTGGGCATTTTGTTTCATAGAGAAAAGTGACAGATACAGCCTAACTAAAGTATACTGTCTTGGAATGTGAGCTCCCAGCTTAGCCCAACGCTCCCTGGGCTCCCAATTTGACTTTGGCTTCTTTCCAAATGGCTTCCTTCACAGCCCACACAATCCAGAAAGGTTAATGTCTTCCAGGGAGTCTCTTTACCTCCTACTGAAGCTGCTCACACTTTGCGGAACAGCTTTGGGAAAGATGCACTTCATTAAGTCGCAGGGCTGGAAGGGACCTTTAGAAGCCATTTGCTGCACCACAGGCCTCTCCAGAAGTGACCGGCTCCAGATGGGCCATCAGCCTCTTAACACGAGTCTGTGCGTGAGGAATGGACACGAGGCCACTTGAGGAGGAAAGCATGTGCCTGGCGTGACATTTACTGCTCAGGATGGCTTAATGTACTCTCTCTAGGTGCAATCTTATGTATGGTTAAAGGTGATAGAAACTTCTAGGCCTTTGGGTCTCTTTGCCTTCCTTGGGGGAAGGGGGAACTGAGCACTGAGGGAAAGACCCGAGACAGGACTGTATTAGTAAGCTCTTTTTAAAACCCAAATTTGCCCTCAACCCCTGCTGTGGCATTTCAGAATCTCACCTGGGGGTTCATGTGCAGATCGATGCCCTGGTGGTTTGCACACGTGTCTCTGCCTGACTCTGAGAGGCACAGGCCAAGGCCAAGGAACACAGGGTGTCAGTGTGCTGCATAGCTCGGCTGTGGGACCAGGGCCCAGAAAATAGACCCGTTGCTGTAATCATTTCAGGTTCATGACTGTTCACAGGCATCACCACACTCTTGAGTCCAAGTTCATACTGGCCAGTGTGTCTCTGTTTTACAGAGTCAAGGCCAGCTAGGGCAAGTGCACAGGCAAGAAGAGAAGGGTTGGTTCCTAGCCCACCATAGTGACCAGAGCAGGAGACCCTGCTGCCCACCTGGGTCTCAGATAGGACCTTGCCCAAGCAGTCCATGAGGGCTCTGGAAACGGGCACAGATGAAAGTCACTGGAGAGAAAGCATGGTGGGCATCAGAACCGCTCTCCTGTATGCCACTCTCTACCTAGGGAAAGCCTGAGGAGAAGCAGACAAAACAGAGACACGGGGACAAGCCCACACTTGGCCTTACTTCTAGCCAGACAGAGAATGGAAAAAGATCTGCAGCCAGGTGTGGCACACGGCTTTAGTTCCGGCACTCGGGAGGCAGAGGCAGGCGGATCTCTGAGTTCGAGGCCAGCCTGGTCTACAAATTGAGTTCCAGGGCAGCCAGGGATACACAGAGAAACCCTGCCTTGAAAAACAAAGCAAAAGAAAACAGAACAATAGATCTGTGTATAGTTCTACCCCTTGGGGAATTTTTTTTATTGGTGGGTGTGCGCATGCGCCTGGGATCTGGTTCTCTCCTCTTCTGGGTCCTCAGGTTGCCAGGCTTACACAGTAACTCAACTATTTCCATTTATCATTTAAGACTCAAGGGAGAAGGAAACCCACTCATGCTAAAATATCATGCATCAGCAAAAGAGACCAGGTTTTAGGTCTTCCTCTGACAAGATCATGTGTTTCAGTTGATTCACAAGTGTAAGAGTATTTGTCATTGAGCCTGTCGGCTCCCCAGTAGTGACACAGAGACTTATTAGTTATGAAAGCTTGGCTTATAGCTCAGGCTTGTTTCTAGCCAGCTCTTACAATTTAAATTAACTGATTTCTTTTCATCTATGAGCTACCACGTGGCTCATGACTTGTTACCTCAACTCCTACATGTCATGTTTGATCTCTGTCTCTCAGCATCTCACTTTTTCCAGCATCCTCTCTGGCCTGAAAATTCCTGCCTAGCTACTGCCCGCTCAGCTTTTTATTAAACCAATACAGGTGACACGTCTTCACAGTGTACTAAAAGATTGTTCCACAACACAGGGAATTCATACATGTCTCCTTCCAACCCCTTCTTGCAAAGACACACCAAAGAATGGAGTTTAATCACCCTGTGACCCTTAGGGGGCAGTGCTCTGGCTGGATGTGGGTCCACTGGGACTCCTCCTTGCTGGGCCACAAGCTGCCTCAGAGACACCTGACACTCTGAAGAGGAAACAGAATCAGAGGTGGAGATGACAGGCCACCAGCAGCTGGAGGAATGGTGGGCAGCCACCTTCTGACAATGATCTTTCTTCACCCTGGGCTTTGTGCTGTGATGCTTTCACAGTGGAGACACTAGCATCAGAGCCTGTATTTTTGCTTCCTTAAAAGAAGCCTCTGGAATGTCTTCGGGGCCCTTGGGTGATTAGAGCACGAAGGAGAGAGGCCCCTTCCCGTTGACCAGCTAGCATACCTGCTATTTGGATTTCTGTTGCATAACTGGGCCTCAGAGGCAATCGGAGGAGGAGCACTCTTGCAGATTTGTAGTGGCTCAGGAATGTCAAGCATCCAGGTGCGCCTGGAAGATTAGCTGAAATGAGTGGTTGGCAAATTACAGCCTGCAGGCCAATCCAGCCCTCCACCTGTCTCTCTGTGTGCAGTAAACTGCCATTCGCTTTTGTACTTTTAAGGGCTTGTGAGACAGACCAAAACTGTACTAGGGAGACATCTGCGAACACACAGCCTAAAATATTTAGCCTCCAGCTCTTTCCACAGGAAGTCTTCCAGTGTCTGGTAGATAGTCTCTGTGACTCAGAGAATATATGTATGATTAAAAACCCAGAATCTCTGATGAGAACAAAGGTCTGTCTCTGTTGAGGGTGAAGCAGCCACACAGGCTCAGGACTTGGCCCACAGCCCAACCCTGCCTGCTTACCATAGGGTATGTTAAGGCCTTGAGGGTGGAAGTTTCCACTGATGGAGGTGAACCCCTGGTTGTACGATGTGGAGGGCCTGACAGTCACTGTCATGTAAGCTTGGCTGGGTCTTGTACCCAGGCCCTCAGTCAAATACACTTGGCTATTGCCATATTGCCCTCTTCCTGAGTGTTCCTCAAGGCCACTGTGTCAACATTTAATCACACTGTAAGTTATTAATAGGATGGGATGTTCCCCTGGGTACAGAGTTCAGACATCAGGCCTTTGCAGGGAAGTGGAATTAGGGGAAGTTCTGATGGTAGAGCTCCTGGGAGTGGATCATGGTGGCTTTGTTAGAATAGGGAGATCAGGCAGGCAGACAGACAGAGACAGACAGAGACAAACACAGACACAGACACAGACACAGACACAGACACAGACACAGACACACACACACACACACACACACACACACACACACACACGCAAGCACGGGCACATGCGCACACCCACCAATAAAAACATTCTCTTCTCACAACTTGGGCTCTTTATACTTGAGATTTCCTTTCTTCCCTTAACCTGCTTTTCTTCCTTCCCTGCCGCGTCCCTGCCCCTTGCCTCCCTGCTCCCAGCCACCAGGCACCTGCCATTACAGGTGCTGTGCACGCTGTGATACCAGAGCTGGTGTCTTCAGCCACATAGGAGGGCCATGCTTGTCCATCAGCTTCTCTCACTTACTGAAGCATTGCTTCTGTGGCTTTAGGTATCCAGAGGAGCTGAGTGATGAGGGCTTAGCTGTCTCAGGGCCTTTGCATCTCAAGCTCAGAGCTGAGGATGACGGAGTCCGTTTCAGAGGCGGGGGCCTACCCCAGAGAGCTTCCCAGGGACAGAGGTCAGAAGCCCAAGCCTGGAGCATGGCGTCATGTGGAGGGCAGGATTAGGACCATTCATTCCAGGTTTCTGCTGCTAAGGGAACACAGTAGTAGCCAGACCCCTCACAGTGCCACTGATGGGTGTTATAGAATATTGCCCCCTGTGCTAACAGACATTACCATATTCATCAGTGCAGCTGCGACCTCAAGATCAAGTTGAGGGTTGATGCTCCCTCAGAAGAAGTGGGGGAACATCATTAGATCCACACTTGAGAATCTAGCTCCCCCCTCCACTGTCTCTCTCCCAGCTCTACGAAATTCTGCCCAAGCTGCACATGATCTTGTGATCTTGGGACATGGTTTACAGAGTGTGCAACTGAAGGGGTCACTGCATCTATGTAGCTATGGAGAAGTCATCATCCATGTTGATCTTGGGACATGGTTTAAAGAGTGTACAACTGCATCTATGTAACTATAGAGAAGTCATCATCCATGTTGATCTGAGACATTTTCAGTGATTGATGGGGAATGTTCTTGCGTGTATATGTTTGTCTTATTGGTTGATGAATAAAACACTGATTGGCCAGGCAGGATGATAGGTAGGACTAGGATATGAGGAAGATTCTGGGAAGTGTAGGCAGAGAGGAGTTGTCATGTGATCCTAGGAAGTGGCATAGCTGGGCGGAATCTGCCACTAGCTAACTATAGAGGTCTGGAGGTCTGTGCAGACAGGCAGGAAGTGACATAGCTGGGCAGAATCAGAATATAAGCAGAGACAAACAGGAAATCCCTCTCTTCTCTGTGGAGATGCTGAGAAGACACCATGTAGGACTTGAGAGGAGTAACAGGTCCAGACTCTTTCTCCGGTAAGATAAGACCACGTGGAAATACTTAGATTGATAGAAATGGACTAGTATTTAAAACAGCTAGCCAATAAGAAGCTCAAGTCACTGGCCAACAGTTTCATAACTAATGTTTCTTTGGGGCAGAGAAGGGCAGTGGGACCTGCCAAGACAGAAAACTCATGCTCACAATTGTTGCTGCTGCTTTGAGGTTATTCATACTCCTGTAAGAACACCTCACCCATGTAAGCCCAACAAACTCATCCGCTCACCAAGTTAGACTCTTGGAGGAGTCATTCCTTTGACCTTTTATTGATGCCCTATTTGGGGTGAGCACACTCTGTTCGTGTCTCCCCCAGAAAAGTTCACTCAACAACTGATTAAATTTGGAACAATTTCCAGAAAACGGAACCATGTACTTCATAAGATCTCAGTGGGTGTTTTATTTGAATGACGTCTATTGTTGTCTTCAGACTTGATTTTGAAATGCAGCTTCCGCCGGTTGGGCGAATTGGAAAGAAGTCCATAAACAGCTTTGTCCTATGGAGGTTGTCTGAAGTCTGCTCACGGCTCTCAAAGTGGTGCCTGAAAATCCTTCCAGGGAGTGTTGTAGATGTGCCTACAGACACTAACGGTTCTGAGGACGTGGGATCCCTGTTAACACAAAAAGAAGTTTCCCCATCATTCCATTTTATGACTCTTTCTCTGTGAAGTAGGACATCTAGACCAGATATTCTCACTGTAAAGTTCATAAGAATAACAGGTGCTATGAAAACATTGACTGCATCTCTAGAAATTGCTGTTCATGGGACATCCTTTTAATTTCTGAGTGAATACAGGTTTTAACTCATGGTAAGAATGACTTTAAAAGCAGGATGAATCTTGAACCATTCAGTAAAAAATGAAAATTCTTTGTTGTCTGGAACCTGTCAACCTGTCTCCATAGTCATATACATGCATACGTACATACACACATACATACATACATACACTCCTGTGACTTTCTGAAAGAGGTTTGATAATTCTGGAAAGTAAGCCATCTTTGCATGATGGAAAGGAGGAAAAAATGGCATTGTCCTTTATTCATGTATTCATCACATTTACTTTTTCGTTTTTCAGATCAGCAAAACCCCAAGACTAATAATAAATAACCCGACTTACAAGATTGTGGAAACGCATACATGAAATGAAGTTTGCAAATTACTCAGCAGGGAACCTGAGAGCGACCTTGCTTTCTGGTATGAATATGGATAGATTTCGAAGCTCTATCTATGACCCCGGAGGTGGGTTTACCCCTCTGAAGCTTGGCATCTCAAGGATGTCACTGGCGTCTTGTGAAGTCAGCTGCAGACTTCATATTCCCCTGAGCCAACTTAAGCACCATCTCCCTTTAGTTCTTTTCTAACTCTTAACCCCAGGGTGCGGGGATTTGATCTCTGCCCCACACCATTTGGTTCTTATTTCTCTCATGGCACTCACAGTTGTAAAGTCAGAGGGTTGTGAAGTCCTAAAGGCAGGAGTCAGCTGACACAGCTTTGCTTCCGATGCCACAGCTGATGGAGTAGAGCAGGGATTATTCACCCCTGGCTGATTTGAGAGCTTGTAACATTAACTAATATTTAGTGAAGGCTTTTCCTCATGAAAAGACTTTGCACAGGCTTTTCTCTTGTTGTCCTCACCACACCTCCTCACGGGACAGGTCCACTGATTACCCCGTGACTGCTCAGAGAAGGGAAATAATGTGCCTGAAGGTACACAATCCAGAGGTGCGGGCAGGACAGTACAGCCTGGCCCTGGTCCAAGCTTTCCGGCTCCACACTGTCGCCAGCTGGCTCACACGGGCAGATGGTGTGTCTGTCTTCACAGCTCCTAGAAGAGCAAGGTTCTTTCCAAAGAAAAGATAAAGACAATCTCCCAAATGCCACTGCATCTGCTTCTTGGCTGACCTTGGGGTTGCCTGAAAACAGTTTTTTTTTGTATGTGTTTTCATGCCTATGTATGTTAGCATGTAAAGGTCAGAGGTCGACTTTAGGTGTCTTCTACAGTTGCACTCCACTTGATTTGAGACAGGATCTCTCATTGAGCCTGGAGGTCACCAGTTCAGCTAGACTGGCTGGGTCAGTGAGCTCCAGGGACCATTCTGTCTAGGTTGCTTTTCTTTATCTGTAGAGTCCAGGATTCCACCCAGGGAATGGTACCACCCATGGTGGGCACAATGGGGTGTCCTTATCTCAATTAGCATAACCAAGATAATTTCCCTAAACCTGTCCAAAGGCCCATCTTCCAGGTGAATTTAGCTTCTGTTGCCAGTCAATACTCACCACCACAGGTAGCTTTTATCCATAGCTATGCTGGGACACATGTAGCCTACAGGCCACAGGTTGTTCGGTTCTCCAACTATCCCAGTTCTGACCTCATCACACCTGGCCATTTGATGCTGCTGTCCCTCTACACTGGTGATGGGCTTGCTCTATGGGAAGCCCATGCTTTGCCGGAAGTGTCAATACTGTGCTCCATAATGTCCCCTACCTGTACCAAGGCATCAGTCACAATGGAGTCTCCAGAAAGTGACCTCTAGTCCTCATCATCCCATGGTTGTGTTGGCTGTCTCCAGACTCCAAAAGGCTGCAGAGGTCCAGGAGAATTTCTCCCACCATTTATTGTGTCTCTAGCCTCTGTCACCTGCCCAGGACCCTCTCCCTGCCCTGCCATTGAAAGCCTCTAGACTCAGAATCCTCCACCCTTCCAGCAGCATGTTCCTTCCAGGTGAGGAACCCCTAACAGACATGCTCAACACCGCCTCCTGTTCTGTGTGCTCACTCAGCTTCCCTGTTTCTACTTTCCACAAGTATCCTTTCTGACCAAAGCCTTTCAGAGTGGATCCCTTCTCCACAAGCTACCCGAGTCATGGTTCCAGAATCACACCGGCTTCAGTGTAGCTTTAGGCTTCCCCTTGGCCATGGTGATGATCACCAGTGAGTTGGTCTCCTCTGAAAATGAACATGATGCTTATCTGGGGAGGTTACTGTGAGGGTGACAGGTGATGATGCCCAGAGAAGACCTGCAGTGGGGTTGGCATTTGGTGAACATTCAGTAAATGACACTGTCCCTCCTGACTGCTCCCTCTACTTGAAAGAGGACCACACAATGCACACCGAGAGAAACAGGAATGGAACACTCTGGGCCAGATTAGGGAAAGCCTTACATGTCACATAAGGAATTTAGACGCTGAGTCGTTACTGTGACAGTCCTATGCTGAAGTCTCTGTGTGGCTGTATTTGGACTGGGTGGTTGTAGATGCTGTTAGATACAGATAGGATGGGTCAAATCCAGCACGGCCAGTGTCATGGTCTGTGTATGAAGTTTCCCCAAAGACTCATGCATTGAAGACTTGGTCTCTACGTTCAGAGGTGGATCTTTCAGGAAGAGATTGGATCATAAGGATCTGCCTTCATCAGCTGATTGATCCGCTGACGATTCCATAGTCTGAATAAGCCATCAGGAGGTGGAGGGACTCCTGAAGATGGCATATTGCTGGAAGCAAGGCGGTCCCCAGGAGTGTGTCATTCAAGGGCACCCTGCCTGGGCCTTTCCCTTCTTTCTCTACACGAGGCGAGAAGCCTCCTCATCCACTGCTACCACCATGTCCTGCATCATCTTGGGTCCATGGAGCACAGACTAAAACCACAGCCGAAAGTTGTTGCACCCTTCCCCCATGGGGGTCTGCTGATCAGCTTGTGACCAGGAGCTTCTAGCAAAACACCTCTGTCCCCTCCCCCCAGTAAGGCCAGCATGCCAGTTCCTGTTTTCTGTCCATCCTTGTTGTCTAAATGCTAATTCCTGGTTTTCGGCCCATCCCTTTGCCAGAGGGCCCTGGGAACATAGGCTTCTGACCTTGGTAGTTTTCCACCATGCCTGCCACTGGTATATGGGGCTCCATCCACTCTTGTTATAATAAACACCATTCTCCTTGTAAGAATGAGCCGCTGCCTTTGTCTTCATTTACATCCTTAGCCCTTCGCTTGGATCGTTGTGAAGTGTTGTAGCGCCATAACCACGAACACCGGCTCACTACAGAAAGTTAGTCTTCCCTCCTTTAAAGTCGGTTTTCTCGGGCATTTTGTTACCGTGGAAGTCTAACACCACTACAGACTAGACATGCAGTCTGGAGGCAGACCTTCACATACAGGGGATGACTTGGCCTCCAGAACAGAGCAGTAAATGTCTACAGCTCAGGCCCCATGGTGGTCGCTGTGGTCAGCCTGACAGGATCTAGAATTGCATACCAAACAAACTCTGGGCATGTCTTCGAGAAGTCTCTAGATTGGGTTAATTAAGACAGGAAGACCCACACTACACGTGAGTGGCAGCGGTCCATGGGCTGTGTCCTGGGCTGGGTAAAGAGGAAGTGAGTTGAGCATCAGCATGCGTCTCTCTCTGCTTCCTGACTGTGGGTGGATGCTGCTGGCTACCTTGCTACCACCATGCCTCACCCACCACGACGGATTGAAAGCCGCTTCTTGTCAGGTATTTTGTCATAGCAACAAGAAGAGTAACTGATGCAGGTCCAGGGCCTGTGACGGCATCATGGCACATTGATAAATAACACTGTGCACCCTGGTTAAAGGATGTGTAGGGTAGGGCAAGAGATGCAGGCACCCACAGCTAGGGGGTAACAGGAGGAGCTGAAGGGACACAAGGGACGGCAGAGGCCACCAGAGGTGCTGTGACAGATGAAGAGATAGGTTGGGATGGGAGGGCAGCCTCAGGAGAAAGCCCTGAGGCCGGGCCTGGCAGGCACACAGATCTGTGTGTGTTTGGGGGGGGAGGTTGCCACCCATGGGAGGGTTGGTGAGACTCTCAAGCTCAGACCCAGGCAGCTGTAGGCTTTCCCTTCTGTTGATCTGGCAAGACCCTCCCCTGAGAGACTTGGGGGATTTGCCTTTGATGTGGACCACACCAGGGGGACACACGGCAGGGTGGGAGACCCTGCCGTGCAGCTGCTTGCAAAAGCAGAACAGAGGTATCTGCAGTGGCATCACACAGGTGTGAAGGGTTCCAGGGCACAGTCACAGTGAATGGCTAAGCTTTCCGCGAGCCTCCAGCATCCTGGGGGCTGACCACCCCTTCCCAAAGACAGTGCGGAGAGCAACATCTGTGTAATGAATGATCTCCAGCAGATTTGGAATGCAAATGAAAAGTCCCAGCTCTCTCAGGCATATCAGCTGGTGGGATGGATCCATCAGCACCTGGAAGAGAGGAAGGGGCGGGCCTCCTGTGGCCTGGGCCTCTGTGAGGAACTAACTCCCATCTCTGCAGTTCCAACGGGGCCTGACCGCCTTTTAGGAAGGGAGAGTCCTGTTCTTGGAGAGTGACTTTACATGTTGTTGAAGGTGTGTGTCCTTTCAGTAGGCACTCCTTTATCCACGGCATGTGGTTTTTGAACCCGTCACTAGGTGTCAAGGGCTGCTTGAGCATGTTTAAAGGCGGATAATAAAGAAAGCACGGGCACCAGGAGCCTAACCCCAGAGACCCTGTGCTTCTGGGAGTGGAGACTCACCTGCTGAGGGATGAGGATATACAGAGCAAACTGGGGAGCAATGGGGGTGTCTAGAGACAGCCAGAGCAGAACCACATTTTGTCCAAGGGGTATCAGGTGCACCTGGATATTGAGGTAGTGGCATCCAAGTCCTTCTCCCATACCCTCCCCAAATAGATACTGTTTTGTTTGCGAGTTTCATCGTGTAATCTTGGCTAGCCTGGAACTCACTATGTGGACCAAACTGGCCTCTAACCTGTGTCAAAGCTCCTGCCTCTGCCCTGAGTGCTGGAACCATAGGTACGCATCACCGCATGACCCTGCCAATTCTTAGGCTTAAGCCTGAGGTCCATGGAGGAGCAGAAGTGTCCCTGGGACCTGGCAAAGGCGAGGGTGACACCACAGGTCTAAGGGTAAATATGGCTGTGCTAGTCTTCATCCTAACCTCTTCAGGTCAGAACAAGTACTCAGAGAGGACCTGCAGAAGTTGTGGAGGGCAGGGTGCAGAGATGAACAGACCCAGAGGGCCTGCCTGCAGGTGCCTCTTGTGTGTGGGCTGAGGCCGCTACAAAGGGAGCTCAAGTCTGAAGAGTTGAAGGCGCTCCAGGCATGGGGAGGTGCAGGGCTGTCTCTAGACTCACTGCCGTTTGTCATCATCGAGACGCACTCCTTGAGCAACTAACTGAACCCGGTTCGGCACTGGGGTTTTATTTCTCAACACTCGTAAGAACCGATGTACAAATGAGCAGAGCAACCATATAAGGCAACTTATTCGTGTCATTCATTTTCCTTTGTGTCTCCTCCTTTCTCTCCTGGCAGTTGCCTACTCGTAAGGCCTGACTAATTGCACATGATCCCTTCATAGAAAATGTCACAGAGCTGGTGTGAGCGCCTGTAGTAACCGCCCCACACCTGTCCCTCCTTCCCAACACATGCGTGTATACACAGGGCACACACACCGCCTCTGACTTACACGTCGCATCTCAACACTTGCAGACAGCCACAACCGCGTCACCCTGTCAGGGAAACAGGCACCCAGAGCACATATTCACAGGATCTCATGCACGTGTCATG